CATGTGTTAAAGAGACTAACTCTTCCCCATTGGATGGATTTTGGCCCTTTGTCAAAGATCAACTGAGCCTAGGTCGATGGATCTATTTCTGGGTTCTCAATTCTATTCCATTTCTGGGTTCTCATTCTATTCCATTCTATGTGTCTGTCATTGTACAAGTACCAGGCTGTTTTGACCACTGTGGCTGTAGAGTAGGTTTTGAGATCCATGAGTGTGAGATCTCCTACTTTGTTCTTCTTCTTCAGTAGTGCTTTCCTTATCCGAGGTCTGTTTCCTTTCATATGGACATTTTTATAGCACATAAAAATACTTATGTGGCAATATCAACTACCAGAAGTGTGTATGGTCATGGGTGTGTTCCTATTTGCCCACCCGTACTTGGCATTCTTGCCTGTCTGCCTTCGTATCCACCTGTAGGTCAGCGTTTGCTGTTCCTGGTGATCCAGTCTTTGGGTGATACTACTTCTCTGTGCTGTCTGCACCCTTGTACTCCTTTCTGTGTCTCCCTTTTCCTTAGGTATACCATGCGGGCTCTCCTCTCTTTGCTTCCCTTCTGGAGCTCTTGTTAGCATTGTTGGACTGCTTCACTTTTTCCCTTATTGGCTCCTCACCTCTTTCATATTTTCCAACTCTTTATCTCCTCATGCTATATTCCGGGTAATTGCCTCAGATGAATCTTGAGGTTCACTAATTTTTCCCGAAGTGTGGAGACTCTGTACCCAGACTACCACTAGCCTTGTGATCTTTCTGTGCCTCGTTTCATTGTCTTTAAAATGAGAGTAACAGTAATACCTCCTACAAAGATTATTTTGAGGTGAAATGAGTCAATATATATAAAGCTGTTAAAGCAGTACCTGGCCCATAGCAAGTGCAGTATAAAGATTTAAAAAACCTCACTGCTGTCAAATCGGACCCGACTCATAGCAACCACTCCTTGGGTTTCCGAGGCAATATCTCCATGGAAGTAGATTGCCCAATTTTCCTTCCAAGGAGTGGCTATTGGGTTTGAACTACCAGCCTTCTGGTTAGTAGTCAGATGCCTTAGGCACTAAGCTACCAGAGGTCCCATATAAAGATTAGAGGTGATTTTAGTTATTTTAAGAATCTTCTTTGGCCTGTGAATTCTTTTCAGCAAAATTTTACTTTTGTGCAATACTAATGATATTGCTTGATAAATTCCACATTTTCTTGGATCACCTTTCTTTAGAGTGGGCACAAATATGAATCTCTGCCAGTCAGTTGGCCGGTAACTGTCTTCCAAATTTCTTGCCATAAGCGAGTGAGCACTTCCGTCATTGCCTCTATTTGTTGAAACATCTCACTGGATGTTTATTTTTCCTGGAGGCTTGTTTTTCACCAATGCCTTCAATGCAGCTTAAGCTTCTTCTTTCAATAGCAGTGGTTCTTGATCATATGCTACCTCCTGAAATGGTTGAACATCTACCAATTCTTTAGTACAGTGACTCTGTGTATCCCTTCCATCTTCTTTTGGTGCTTCTGACATCATTCAACATAGAATCCTTCATTATTGCAGTTTGAAGCTTGACTTCTTTCTTCAGTTCTTTGAGCTTCAGAAATTCCAAGTGTGTTTTTCACTCTGGCTTCCTAACTCCACATCTTTGCACATTTCATTATAATATTTAACTTTGTCTTTTTGAGCTGTCCTTTGAAATCTTCTGTTCAGTTCTTTTAGTTCATTTCTTCCATTCGCTTTAGCTGCTTTCCATTCAAAAGTAAGTTTCAGGGTCTCTTTGGATGTCCATTTTGTTCTTTTCTTCCTTTCCTGTCTTTTTAATGACCTTTTGCTTTCTTCATGTAGGATGTTCTTGGTGTTGTCCCACAACCCATCTGGTCTTCAGTCACTGGTGTTCAATGTGTCAAATCTTTTCTTTACATGGTCTGTAAATTCAGGAGGTATATAATGAAGATTGTATTTGGGCTCTCGTGGACTTGTTATAATTTTCTACAGTTTCCACTCAAACTTGCAAATGAGCAATTGATGATCTGTTCCACAGTCGGACCCTCCTTGTTCCAGTTGTTGATATTGAGCTTCTTTATCACTTCTTTGCCAAGTAAATTTTGATTCCTGTGTATTCCGTCTGGTGAGATCCACCTCTGTAGTTGCTGTTTATGTTGTTCAAAAAGGTATTGCAATGAGTAAGTCATTGGTCTTGCAAAATTTTATCACATGATCTCTGGTGTCATTTCTATCACCAGGGCCATATTTTTCAACTACCAATGTTCTATCTTTGTTTCCAACTTTTGCATCCCAATGCATCTTGATTGCATGTTTTGTCATTGAGGAAACTGTCAAACAATATTATTAATATCACACACCATTGAAACTTTTTGGTAGCATAGTGGCTAAGGCACTTGACTGCTAACCAGAAGGCTGGTGGTTCAAACCCATCAGCCACTCCTCGGAAGGAAGATGGGGCAATCTACTTCCGTAGTGATACTGCCTTGGAAACCCGGGGAAGGGGTCGCTATGAGTCAGGTTTGACTCGACGGCACATAACAACAACAACAACATTGAAACTTTTCTGAAAATGATTCTAAATTATTGCAGAATTACATAGACTGGAAACTGCCAGAAATTCAACTGGTTTCAGAAGAGGGTATGGAATGAGGGATATCATTGCTGATATCTGATGAATCTTGGCTGAAAACAGAATACCAGAAAGATGTTTGCCCCTGTTTTATTGACTATGCAAAGGCACTCAATGTGTGAATCATGACAAATTATGGATAACATTACCAAAAGTGGGAATTCCAGAACATTTAATTGTGCTCATAAGAAACTTGTACAGAGACCAGGAGGCAGTTTTTCAAACAGAACAAGGAGTTATTGCATGGTTTGAATCAGGAAAGGTGTATGTCAC